AACGCCCTCCCAAAAATCAGAATAAATTTTTCAAAATTTATTTCAAAACACTTGAGGCGCTACTTAAGTGTAATTCATAAATAATGTAATTCATACTTGCATAGATCATAAATCATAAATCCAACAGTTTCATAAATCCCAATGTCATCCAAATTATTCATAAGAGAACATAAATAATGTAATTCATACTTGCATAGATCATAAATCATAAATCCAACAGTTTCATAAATCCCAATGTCATCCAAATTATTCATAAGGGAACATCTCCCAAACCAAAGTTCGCAAAAATCTCAAGTGATATATCATAAATACCAAAGTTCCCAAGTCATAATTAAGCATAAATAGATCCATGTCTACTACCATGCAAAATAAACTAAATGAGGTCAGTCAAGACCAACACCACTCGTCTTTTGTCTCGCCAGCCAACACCTGCTTAACCTGCATCCTTGAAGAGCAGGTGGAAGTGAGCACGGTGAACTGTAGTGCTCACTACTATGCACATGAACAATAATAATATACGAGAAATTAAATGGCATGGTCGCAACATGTATACGAATCAATCAACTATCCCATCTCCTATACAATGTCATAAATAGTCTCATGTGCACACCTATATCAATATACTACTATTGGTAGACGTATCGAATGCCCCATGGGCTTTTATTGAATGCCCCTCGGGCTTATACGTCTAATGCCCCTCGTGCTTCTACACCGAATGCCCCTCGGGTTTCTATCGATGCTAGCAGTAGGAGTAAACCCCATGGGTTTTGCTTTACAGTTACAGGGATAACCGTTCGAAGGCCGACACCAGCTCACATCGAAGGCTACATGTTCACATGCATACATTGATCATACCCACATAAATAAAACATTTATCATTCATGGCATAGACAATTTAAATAAGACCCATCTGGACACTAAGCGGGAGAAAAGCGCAATCTGTTGTTTAGGGTGAGAGCTCAACTCGCCAGACACCGTACTCCAGGGAATCGACACGCAATGGTTGACTGGTCGATAATAGCTCGGCAGTTGGGTCAAAGCTCTTTCCTATGTCAAAGCAAAATCAATTTATCCCCTAACTTCAGCCCACATAATTTAATTGGCCCATTTGCAAAACTATAAGTTCAAATATTTTTAAAAGCCCAACACTCATACCAAGCCCAAGTTGTTCTCTTTTTCTTTTTCTTTTCCCTTCATCTTCTTCGCAAATTCCATAGCTTCCGAAATCAAAATCCTTCTTCCCAAATCCTTCATTCTTCTCAATTTCGACCTACTTCTATCGCAGCCCTCCACAAAATCGGCCTAACCCAATCGTCCAACAATGGAAACCCAAAATCCGAGAGGGTCTGGCCCGGCGTCTGAATAGATTGAAAAAAATCAACGATCGGGTTCCTCTGGCTGCTGATGTTCGCGACCTTCGGTCAATCTTTGGTCGCGTATTTGGCATTGAGGTGCGCTGAGACGACGCGTGGGCAGAAAATTCGCGGGAAGGCTGACGACGGTGGATTCATTGACCATGGAATGGTCGGGGTGCTACTCTCGAAGCCGGAGGGTGCTGCTATCGGTGCTCGGTTACTCGCGGATTAGCAGGTCTGTCGGAGATGCTCGAATTACGGAATGTGATGGTGGCTCGACGACTGACGGATGCTCTTGAGGTGATCGACGCTGTTAAAGACTGTCGGGTACTGGCAGTCTTGAGTCGATGGCTCAATTCGCCGTGTTGCAGCAAAGGCGGGTCACACGCACAGTTGAGGGTTCTCGTTTGTCGTCGGCGATAGGGGCTATTCGCTCGTGATAACGGGAAGGGAATTTTTTCGGAGATTGGTGATGGTTAGGAGCGAAGGATCTGCTCTTATTATTGTTGGAGATTAATTTGTATATTAGGAGAATTTATTGTGAATTATTGCTGAGTGAGAGTAAGGTTGATTGAATAAGGATTTTGAAACCAAAAGTTGTTTTGCGATGAAATGGGCAGAGAACCAGTAATACGATTTTTCGTGAATCTGCTAACTCCTCCTCGACTAGATATATACAGGAGTGAAACGAATGTGAGAGAAAAATTCTCACGAAAGAATCGCAACATTTTAAACTGCCGTTGAAAAGACTTGGTCGAACGGAAAGGATAAGAGAGCAGCTAGATCTTCTCCATTTAGGCCACCAACTCTCAATTTCTTATGGGCCAATTTAAAACAACTAGATTGGGCCAGAAATTAGATTGACATAAGTCTTAAAAATAGATTATGGACTGGAATTAAATACCTACAAGGCCAAGAGAGATCAAAAGTACAACAATTGGACCGAGTATCAAACTCAAGGCTCGAATAATCAAACGCGAATATTCACGAGGATACCGAACATTTTAAACAAACAGCGATAAACAATAATAAAATTACGCGAATTATTAAATTAATTAGACGACGACATCTAATATAAGAAGTCTTAACGAGATATATCGAGCGATTACCGAAATAAATATAAATAAAATACGATAGTTCACATA